ACAGAAAATGAAACCAAGATAAAAGACAATTACACTCGTCTACTGTAGAATCCTTAAGTAGCCAAATGAGATCTATTTTGTTTAAAATCTATTTTTGATCTCTTTGTTTAAAGTGTCATGAAATATATTTCAATTATGTTCAAGAAAAAAAGGTCATGAAATGACAGACTTGAAAACTTTCAAGTCTTCATTTACCTATGGATTAGACAAAAATACCAAAACCGAATGCCTTGAAAGGTCTGCATCTTTGCTTACCCACAGGACAGACAGACCAAAGACATCAGCTTTATTCATCCATTTTAGTAACACACTTTTGGATATGGGACTTAGTTTCTACTTTCAATACTCTGACCACTCATCTAAGGTCAATTTACAACCCTATGGGTGGACCTTGTAACAAAATTCAGAAGGTGGAAATGCTCTGTGTTACAGAGGCAGCCCCGTGGACCCCTGCTGGTCACTGCTGCCTTTGAATTAGTGAACATTCTCACTTCTTATTACAAACCCCAAAGAGCAATCTACTTTCTTCTACCAGTGGACAAAGTCACACAATTATTATCAGGAGTAACTTCCAAATATTGGACTACACTCCCACAGAAGGAAGCCAGGGAAGCTCTTCCTGCTCTCAACTGCCTCAGCTACAATATTAGCAGCATTCTAAAAGCCATGTAAACTCAGTGGATAGGGTGCCAAATAAAAAGGATGTGATTCCTACATAGAGAGCTTCTCAGTGAAGACTGCTGACAGCTGCATAAAAGGGAGCTGAATGAAGATCATGCTTACAGAGCTGCACCAGCCACTTCAATCAAAACAAGAAGCACCTTTCCTGAGATCCATATCCAGTTCTGGGCTTTTACAATCCAGTGCACCCAGAAGAGTATCCTCCCTCTGATTCTAAGCTTTTTTAAAAAAATCATAAAAGCACCATTTTACACAGGCACATTGAATTACATTAAAATGTACTAAACTACTTCACTCAGTAACATACTCAATGTGCTTTTCAAAATACTTTTAAAATTATTTTGTCCTATACTTGCATATAGCTATCTGGCACACTACAAAAGCAGGGAGTATTTTGTTTGGGGGAGTGTTTCTTTTTCATAAATATCTCAGCAGTTGTTAAGGAAGAATTTTCTATACTTAAATCTGTAGAGTGCAGCAGGAAGGCTCTCAGATACAGGGAAATCAGAAGTCCTCCACACAGTCCTGGTACTTTAGCAAGTGGTTCCCATCTTATCCTAAGAACCAGCTCTGTTACGCTTCTGCTAGAGATGTAAATGCTTACAGCTAGCCATTCCCCAAGACTTCAACCATACTAATCAACATTACCATAGCATAATACAAATTATGCAATATTTGAAAATCAGTGTCAGACATTTCTGACCACTCATCTACAGCCTAGCACAGTCTAGGAAAGATATGACCAAAGCTCTGGGCACAGATAGTCATTTGCATTTCTTCAAGGGTAGACAGTCATATTCTCCTTTTTAAGTGTCTGCGCAAAGATGAGAGAATGAAAAGCTGGAGATTACATTTCTCTCATAAAAACACTTTAACTATACTGCAGTGATAACTGAAACCACTTTTAGATGTCTATAAAACATCCAGTTTGTCATCTTTTCCTTGTTGAAAACTAGGTGGAAAAAATGCTGGAGGAAACTAGTTTTTTTTCGTTCTTACACAGATATCCTCTCCCTAATATTCAATCCTGCATAGTCTCAACCCACACATTTTCTCCTCATTTTCACCCTGAGTTAAAGCAGCCTTGTAAATATTAGAATCCAGAGAGTGCAAATTGAAAGTGGCCACTCTTTTTTAGATGTCACTTCTCATAGAAAGCCAAAGCAACAGAATTACAGGAGGGTTTAAGTGATATTTTATTACATACCATAGTGAGCTGAAGCAATTAAATGAGAAGAAAGAGTGATTCAGCTGGGAACAATTAGCATTTTTTCTATAATTGCTTCACAGAGAAATATGGGAGTTATTTCTAGAGAGTCTCAACTTGCAAAGCTTCAGCAGTTTTACTGTCCCCACCCATTAAATATATTTGGTAGCTGGCTGTAAATACACATACACTGTTGCAATCAAATTTTTAAACTCTCTAAACTGCATCATTGTTATAATGAGCCTTCAGGCAAAAGCAGAGATTAACATTTCTGAGAGAGAAAAACAAAGATTTCATTTCACTACCCGTCCACAAAACCTGATTTTCAGGGAGAAATACTAATGGAGAGTATATCAAGATGCCAATTATCAACCTCCAGATTTCTAAAACATAATCTTGTGTAACAGAAAAACAGTCTTTTAAATTATGCCTAGTGTTCTTAGAAAATACTGATACACAGAAAGGACAACAGTTGATGCTACTTTGTTGCAGATTACACAATAGCTCATTCAATGAGCCTGTAATACCTAAATATCTTCAGGTCATTTAATCAAGGACAATCCATAAAAATTGCTTGAGTTCCCACCCTAAAAGACTAAAAGGAGATTGAGTTCTCATTTTTGCTGCTGCCACTTTTTAAGTGCATCTTTTTGCTATTCCAGAAAGCATGCATTTCATTAGCTGTAACACCTAGAGGTCAACAATAAGACAACCAATTATAAAACCTATTCAACAGTAGTTGTTTACCAGAAAATGAGGCAGAGCAGTATCACAAAATATGCATACGTTTTCATTACCTCCCCTATTAATGGAATTCCAAATCTGAAAACAAAGTTTGATTCTTATGTTATTTAATATTTTTTAACATTTACAACACAATAATTAAAAAACAAGGTAGACTTGGATCATCTTTGCAGTACGGATAAGGCTTTTATCTTTTGCTTTCTGTAGATAACAAAGAGCTTTAACACAAAAATACCTAAGCATCAAAGGCATCAATTAAAGATACCAAAGATGGCCCTTCTTACCTCAAAGCTTCTTTCTAAAACTTACACAACTATTGCCAAAGTTCACTGTTTAACCTCTCAACAATTATAACTACAGAAAGATTTCCTGAAGTAATTATAAAGCACAGCTACAAAAGTAAGATTTTTTCAGCTCCTTCATTAGCAACATCCAGTACAATTCCATCACTAATTACTAACCATGTTTTACATAGTTTGGCCTGAACCAGTAGAAAATCCATGTTAAGACATTTCTAGAATGTTGCTGCTATTCCCTGCTATGTTGCAGTGCTTGCAGGACTTCAGTGTAAAGCAGTTGTGTTCCCCAAGAAGCCAAACAATGACTACCAAGGTAGTCATTCAGAAACAATGCTGGATGTGGTCTTTTTAGCCAGATTTTCTTCAATGAAGAATCAGAATGGTTTGGGTTAGAAGGGACCTCAAAGATGATCTAGTTCCCCCCTCCCTTGCCATGCAAAAGAATGCCTTTCACTAGACCAGGCTGCCCAAAGCCCAAAAGAAAACAAGGACTTACAGTCTTAAGACATTACCCTCAAATCTGCCCCTGTAATTCTTCCAAAGACATTTTAACTTCTAGTGCTGTTAAAAGAAGGCCTGGTAGTTTGGGTTTATTGAGGTAAGACTATAAAATGAGCCCAGCTTAAAGGTGTTGAAAGTCTTTTCCAGGGGCAGCAACGTTCGCTTCAAGAAAAGGCCTAACGGACTGGACATTGCCTGAGAAAATGAAACATTCTCTTTTTATGTGGTATAGAGGATGTCACCCATTTCCTAATCAATTATTAAAATATGCCAATTGCTTAATATTGCATCAAATGTCTCCAGTGAATCCAGAAACTGAAGGTCAATTTTGTTTAAACCAAAATCCCTCCTGAAACACCAGCAAGAGCGACTGTGGCTACTGGCTGTGAATGAGGCCTCCCTGCTCAAGGAATGCCAAGTGAAACATGCATCCATTTCCATACCTGAAAAGCTGCCAGCTGCTAGACAGGGAGGGCTCAGCTGCAAACCTGTAGGCTTAGGTGGAAATCTCTAGACCTGCATAGAGATCTGGGTTATTTTGGGACACATTAGACAGACGTGTGTCCTGTTGGCTCCTGTCCAAATGCTTTCCATACACTACCATTACTCTTATATGTGATACTCCCACAAGGTTTCACTTTTGATAGTTGGACACTATCAGAACTTTTTACAGTACAACTAGAACATTAGATTGTCTCAATATCCTTATCAATATTTAATTCCTCTCAAAACCTTGGTAAGCTCTGAAGTGTCCCAAACCAACTTCCAGCAGCACTACATTCCTCAGTGTATGAGAAAAATTCTTCATATAAATATTTGAGGTCTGCTTAAGAAAGCAGAAAATCCACCGAATAGGTTTATGGATATTGTTACACTTCACAGATACCACTTAAATTTCTAGAAGAATAAGGGAAAGAAGAATACACCAAAAGATACAAAAAGTTAAATTATATAAGAAAAAATAGAATATCCATGGGAAAACATACCAAGTACTAAGATCAGGTAGCTATTGTATGGCAAATCCAGTGATTAAAGGAGGAGCACAGAAAAGGCACTTGTGTACCTGGAGCTAAGATTTCCCACCAAGACTGAGGAACCTAAAATGCCAAAGGCAACAACTGAGGAAAGACATAATTTTGTATTTTAAAACAAATCTAAAAGCCACCATGATTTCACAAAGGCTATCATCCTTAACCAAATTCACCTAACATTTTAAATTTACCAAGTGCAACTGCTCTTAATGGATGATGTCTTATTCATAGAGTAACCATGGTGTTGAATGCATGGTTGCTTGTGGTATTTATATTTACATTCTTTTAAAACAACAACATTACAAACTTTATGATAAACTCTGATATATTTATTATGTCCCTGATATTTACTGAGTATCCACTTGTTCTCTTTACGTGTAGTCTGCAGCCATGAGTGAAAAGGAGATTGCCTTTAATGATTCTGCTTGTACAGGAGAAGAGAACGTGTATTCATATAGAGCTTTCAGAAGTTAAATCAATTCACTTTCTGTAGAAGCAGTACTGTAACATTCTTCCTTTTCCTGGGAAGGGTTATACTCCTACATTGAAGTAGAAGAAAGGATCATCTCTGTCTAATTGATGGAAGGATACTCACTACATACCTGAAGCAAAAAATAAGTAGAATGTAAGTATACAGATTTCTCTCTTGTGTGTCTGCATATGCATACACACTTGAAAACTCCAATGTGAATGCAAAACTAATTTTAGCAGTTCAGATTGGGAACTTCACACTACAGAGGAAAAATCCAGTTAGAATTTTAGACAGACAGTATGAATTTTCCTTTAAAGACAGTAAGTACTCAGCCTGGATCAAAAAGAATTTTGTTTTATTTGAACAAAGGCAAACAATCTTTATTATGAAACACATATCTTTTACCTGCAGTAGAAGAATGTCAAAATATTTTTTTTAATCTGATAACAAGTATCACCACAACTAGTCAATGTTCAAAACTAAAATGTATATTCAGTTACTCATAGGTTAATGATGTTTAAATTTTTTTAACACATAAAATGGATATTTTTTTAAAAATCACTCTGCATAATGATTATGAGACTGTTTTCAGAGAAAAACTCAACTACTACAACTTTTCCAGGGTAGAAAAATCACACCTAGCCCTGAACAAGGACAGTTACATTGGAAATCCACAAATTCTGCCAAATACTTCTGTCAGTTTTATGTACAAGTTAAAAAAAATAGTTCTGGCAATACTGCTGCCAAGAAGAGGTAATATGAAGATAAGTAACTCTTTTTTATGTTCTTTGTTGCTATTTTTCTTTGGTTTAAAATGTACATGAAACACATTTTATGAAACATCTCATTTGCAACTTCATATTGAGATCTGTGTGTACTGCAGTACGTCCTTAGCCATGCTCCAATACGTTTGACATCCCAAGGAGCACACGGGTATGTGTATTTCCTACCGAGTACACAGAGAAGGAAATCACATCTTCTTCCAGAGAAAGTTTCATATTTATTCAAAAGGCATACATCTCAAGTGACTTTATTATGTCTTTAAATGCTTAATTTCATGGAACTTATAAATTAAGGGACCTCTTACTGTTTTAACAATATTACAAGCAACACTCATTGGCATATATTGTAGTTCAAAGGGCTTATACAAACCCCCTATACCATTTAACCCCCTGAGTAAAGGTTTTAAACGGTGTTCCATGGGATCTCATCCACTATGAAGGAAAACAGTGAGGCATCCAGGACTATGAGTGTCTTGAAAAACACTTTAAAGCTTTGAAAAGTTTTTCCTCATCAGAATGCACAAATGCAAAATAGCCTATCCTATATCCAAAACAATCCAAAGTATAACAATAATAGCTGGATTTTAAATTTAAGGAACACTGTCATTAAATGCACATTACGAAAACAACTGGCAGATCTGAAAAAGTAATTGTTATATTTATTTCACATATATATTAATATAACAATACTGTTATATTGTTATATTAAAGTTACTTTTAAGTTTTAAGGTAACAAAAACTATATGAATGTAACTCTCTGACACCAAACTTCAAAACAGTCCAGAAAAGGCTTGGACTCTTTGAAATGTTGTAATTTCTAATCTTTCCTCAAAGGACATGCACATTTAATCTGACAAAGAATGAAAAATGTGCTGTATTAAGTTGAAATAAAGTACAAATAATTTTCAGTCTAAATATTAACTGAGGTCTGTGGTTAAAGTATAAGGAAAATTTTGTCAGCTATCATGTTATAGAAGAATCCACACAGAGTCATATTTTAACATCTAACCAGGCACTTTTTAAACTTGTTAGCTTAAAATCAAGGATAAAAACGGTGTTTGTATACCATTTGATTTTTTCAAAAAGGCACAAATCACTAGTATTCCCCCTACTTTGTCATGTATAAAAAAATTCTCACTCAGCTTAAAAAAAAATCCAAGAACTTGTACAGGTTATGATCACTACAAATTGTAAGATGACAACAAGAAATGTCTGCTAAAATGAAAGCTCCAGGCTTTGTCTGAATTCTCAACACAGCAAACTAACTGTCTGACTGCAAACTTGCTTTTCATTGCTAAAGCAAAAGCCATAAAATAAACTGCAGTGCACAACTTCAATGTGATTCTAACAACTTATTAATGCTGGTAGCAGAGGTGATTTATTTGGCTTTGTGTTGTTTTGCATTTGTTTGTTTTGTTGCTTTTTAGTAAAACCTTCCCCTTCTGACAGAATACTGTTAAACACAGGAAAAAAAAAATTGCTAGTCTCTACTACTGTCAATCTTTCAGACACAGTAAAAAAACTCAACATACAAGAGTTCTAGAGAAAGTCATCAATCTGCAAATGTTATACATCAGTAATAAGGCATCCACTTTACAGCTGTTTGAACAAAAAAGAAAGCATTTCCCAAAATATATATTTTGAATCTGTGTAAACAAAGCTTATATGTATTGCTTCCACTCACTTCAAAAATATACACCCACATGGACTGAAAGTGATCTTGGTGCTGTGAATTTTAGATTACTGTAATTCATGCAGCTGTAATCTGAAGATATAAAATCCAAATATTTTTGAACTTAACATTTGAAACATGTCAAAATTTTTAGTTATGTTTATGTGAAAAGAAAGCTAAAAATACACCCCAAATTTTATGCCATTTCACTGAACGAAGGAGAAAGCACTATGAAAATAAACATTCATCTGATTTCCTAACAATAAATACAAAGACAGTTATTCTAACATACTGCAACACAGGAAATATTACTATATTGACCTTAATGTTCAATCAGTAGTTTTTAAAATCTTTCCTTATTGACGCCTGAATCTTCTACCTTGTCAGCTGTCCAACAACTTTTAAGAGTGTTTTATTTTCTTGCTTCAATTGTTCATTTTCATCTTCTATATCATCTAGATCCTGCACAAGAAAAAAGAAAAATAAACACTTTTCAGGATGGAAATAAAAACTCTCGATTAGTAGCAGCAGGAATTTACCATCTTAGCTCTGAAATGAGGAAGTTGGGATAGGGAAGAATTATTGTCACAGTAGGTACCCTCAGGACTGTTAAACCAGCCTGTTTCCAAGTGTTACTGTAATTACAAAACATTAATATTATATTCCCAAGCACCCTAAACAGAAACATGGTCAAATCAAAGCTACAGCAGATATTAATGCATAAAGAAGCCAAAAGAGAATGGGGGTGATTATTTTTCTGGCATATGTAGAAAGTGCATTAGTCAGCTACTGTTCCTGCTTCCCCTACTGCTTGTCTTCAACTAGAGCTCTCATATACACAGATCACTGGTTATTAAAAGAAGACCTGTTTTGTGTACTAAGTATCAACATTTTCAGAAAAAGATATGTCAGTCCACTTTTTTTCTGTTTTCTGTGGAAAAAAAATAAAAATGGACCTCATACCTTCTGTCTCAAGTCGTACCAGAAGAACAGACAGCACACACACAGTAGCAATGGGTGCCCAAAATAGATTGCTTTCACCCCAAATGTTTGTGTCTTTTTCTCTAATTACCATTTTTGCCCAGTTCCCATTTCAATTCTTCACTCCTATCAAGCTTTTTCAAGCCCTTAAAGTGAAAACCAGCAACAATGGCTGCTTAATATAAACATTAATTCAATAAAAATATTTTTTCTGTACAAAAATCACATGCAAGAAACAGAATGTCAACTAGAAAATAATGAAGAAACAGGAAAGTAATGTCAAGGACTAGATTTTAAGGAGAAAAATGAAAGGTGGACAAAGGAAAAGAACCAGAATTTTCACTAGAGATCCCTTGTGTTTTTTGATTGAAATCTGCCAAATTGTCCTCTTGCCTTAAGTAGTAAAGAGATTTTTCTCTCTCTTGGCCCCTTAAGTTGTTATGCAGTATTTGACATACAGAGCCCAGTTTCTTATCTCTTTCTCAGTGAGATCATTCCAGAAGTGCACAATAGAGATCATCTGTAAAACTGGTAAAATGATTTTTAAAAGCCTCTTCAGTTTCAGCCAAGCTGAAATCCATACCTCAATACATTTGCAATCCCTTTATTGTTTTCTAGAGTGGAATCAAGAAATCACTAGCAGAAATTCCTCTCTGCCTCACAGAAGTAAAGCTGCATCACAGTATGAATCAAGCATTCGACCACTCCAACCTAACGGATACAAGTGACTTAAACATCTAAACATGGAAAGTTTTGGTGGGTAGATACAGATAGTTTATCTGCTATAAACAAATACACTTTACATTCTCTTTTGTGCAATTCAGATCAATAATCTGATGGAAGGGACAACACATTTTCAATTAAATTATTTCTTTTTAGTTTGGTATACATAAAACTTGTATTATAATGCTCAAACTTGTTGATCTAGCCAGCAGATACCTCAATTAAAGCTCACCTAAAAACCTCCTGTTTAAAGTTCTTGTATAATTGACTAAAAATAAAATATTAAAAGTTTGTGAAATGTTTATGCTGCAAAAATTAACATTCAAAAAATTACTACAAGTAAAAGTTTCTTAAATATAAACCAGGAAAAATAACTGCTGCAGTTTAAGTATCTACAGATGGAGGGGATTCTGCCACTCTAAAATTTAAAGTTTCTTATTCAAAACTACAACACTAAATTATGCTAATTAGCAAAAAAAGATGCAATAGCAGGAAAGCTTGAAGTTCACATACCAAAAGAACTGCTAACTACACAATTGACACTGATTGGACTGTAAATCCTCACTGACAGACTCTCCAAACACACTTTTAACTACAATGCCATCTTAGCGAGGTCACAGACTACCAAGTGTAAACTAAATGGCAGTTGAACTTTGCCTACAAAGTATTTAAATATTTTGAGATGCCTTTCTTTTCAGACATTTAAGGTTTTTATGAAGCAATTGCCCTTTCTAACAAAGAACACGGCAGACATACCTTTAATGTCTAATATATTGGAATGAGAGAATGCCATTTGTAGGAGAAAGCCTTTTCTGTTCCTCAATATAAATGCAGCTCATATTTGTTATGTATCCCTGTGATGTACTGAATGGTCTCAGTAAAATGATATTGTCACATAAAATAAATACGCTCACTTAAAATGAGGAAAATTCTACCAAGAAGTTTTCATGATTCTTGGAAAAAGTTTTTCAAATGCAACAAAAGGTCTTTGCTGATCAGGGATGCATCTGTGTTTATGAACTGACTAAAACTTCTAGAAAGAACATTTCACTAAATATGGACTGAGCAGTCAGAAAGATATGCAATAAAATGGCTTTTTAAGAAGTTATCTAGGGTGTCTAATGTGACATACTTTCCATACCTGTGCATCTTAACATCCAAAAACTGTATACTCTGGTGAACAAAAAAGTTGGAGAAAAACCATGAATGTGAAGATGGTCAAATTTAGAGACCCCTATTTAGGCTGCCTACCAGCAAAATTTTTTAAGAAGACCTCTGCATAGAGTTACTCACTAAATAAAGCTCAGCCTGCAGGACATCCTTTTCTCTGAACAGAAGGCTGAAGGTCGCAACTGTTCTTCATGAAAAGGATCCAACCCTGGTGCTAGGCCTACAGAGGGACACTCCATAAAGAACAGATGGATGTTCAAGTGCTGGCTCTCATGTTCTCAGTTATGATAATAAACCTGAAGCAAATACAACTGCCATATTAACTCCCATAACCTTCTATCATGAGAATGATGTGGTATTTCTGCAGCTTTTCTTAATTTTTTTAAACCTTTTCTATTTCTAAATCCACATGGATCACCAGTACAGGAGCAAACATAAAGTCAAGAGTTAATAAACAGGAAAGAAAACTGCATTTGCTTTAATGGAAGCATCACTTGAGACATGAGTTTTAGAAGACAAATAACTATGCTGGTCATAAAATCAAAAGGCAGCTATTTCATCATTAAGAAAAGCCCAAGAAACACAGACATAAATAACTTGCACTCTATTGAGCACACAGATAATGTTAAAGGTATGAAAAATGCTGACCTGCTAATGCTGACCTAAAAAAATCCCTTCTCTTCTGTGTTTAAAAGTATCTACCTAGGGAGCACCAACAAGATGGCCTTGTAGATCTCATGGAAAGACAAAATTTTAGTCAATATATAACAAAGTTGGTTTTGAAATGACTTTGTTCAGTTTATGTTTTCTTCCATAAAATGGAAAGAAACTGCCCTCATACTTAACACAGGAAATGCACAGACAGTGCCTGACTTTACTCTGGATGTTCAAAGACAGTTTCTAGTTAAGACACTTGATGGATTTCATTTAGGACATCATACTTTAAATATAGCCAAAAAAATAATCACTTCTGGACCATCAAACCTCTCAAAAAGTTGTGGTCCTAAACACCAAGATTTCAGTCATTTAGGTTCTTTTAATTTGCTCTTTCCAGCCTTTGAGACAGGAAGTCAGACGTGACCAACAGCATTAAATAGCTTTGCCATCCATTATGCAGAAGGAATGAACACCTGCCCCAACTGTAATAAGACCATCAGCTTGGATGTGATGGATTCTTTGCAGAATGAAAGAACTGCATGAAAAGCAATGCCTCAGTTGAAATAGAAGTATCTCCAAACCAGACAATACCTCATTTATCCTAGAGATTAACTTCCAACTTTCTCCATATAAAAACCAAAATGCGTGTTTCAGAATAATCTTTTAACTTTCTAGGTTAGTTTGCAAACTTCTGAATGCTGTCCTCCTTTGCTACTAATGAAGCTGCAAAATGTAGGTCTGACACTCTTCATGCAATTATTGCCTCCCTTCACTGATGGGTTAACCAGAGCCTTATCTGCACTGGACTGGAAGAGAAGCATATATCTCTCGTACATCGGGATGTCACACCTCAGCCAGGAAGTGCAGGATGAAGTCAATAATCCACTCTATGAAAGGATTCCTGTTTGCCCTTAAAACTGGTGCAACTTTTTCCTATCAACTTTAAAACTTCTCATCCTGTTCCATTTCCAAGCATGTCTCACTCTTCTACCCCTCTTCTCCTGCCTTCACACCTTGCCTGGTGAGGCTACCTCATGTTTCCTGCCATCTGTCTCATTCTGCCTTTACTTGGGATCAACAATAAAGAGTATGAGAATATCTGTCAAAATATAAAGAGCTTTTGCTTTTGTAACCTTGCTCTATGAAGACTTAGAATAACAAAGAATTGAGGCACTCCAATAACACGAGACTTAGGGAAGTTAATCATGATAAATACAAGTCACCTCAGAAAGAAAATATAACTTACTGATATACCTCTTGAAAAGCCAGACAAGTACAAAAAAACCCTCAATTAATTCTTTTTTGGCCTTGCCAATGGATGTGGTGCCTGAGGAATACAACAGAGAATGCAGACACTTATTTCCTCTTTGTAGAGCCATGTAAGAAAGTATTTGCTTACTCTGTTTAATAAATCAATTTCTTCTTTCAGCTTTCCAATTAGTTCCTCTTTGTCCTGTGCCATCTTCATTAATCTTGCATTTTCCTGTCTTTCTTTTGCAAGTTCCTATAACCAGAATACAGAATGAAGTTGGAAATGTAAATTCTTGTTTTAAGAGACAGTTTTAAGTTAATACCGTCTAAAACAAAGAAAGAAGAACACACACACACACACACTTCTCTATAATTCCTTTCCTATAGCAAGTCAAACCCACATCTTCAAGTCCTTTTACATTTCAAGGAGCTAAAGAATCACATCTAAGAATATTTTACCAACAGCAAATCTGTTCGCTGTCTGATTCAAGTGATAATGTTTTAATTTATATTTAACTTCAGCATGGACACAGAATTGGATAGAGGCCCAAAACAGAAGTAACTGTAAAGTACCAGCTCAATTGTTTTTGGTTGGATTTTCTGTTGTTGGTTTTTATAATAGCACTAAGAAGAAATGAAGACTCACTTTTAAATCTGTAGGCCTGAATGTGAGAAAGAATGAAAATGTTCATTAGGAAAGAAAGTGCTTAAATCTGTTTTTTGTTACTGGCAAGTAAGGTGTTTCAAAAGAAGCTGATTTAGAAGGGAGGATTATGGTATACTTTACTCAAATGAAGGTTTCTCAAGTCTTAAATCAAAAATAGTAATTTCTACAAAATACATGTTATTTTCCCCCTTTCCAAAAAAAGACCCATACAAATTCTGTTTACTTAATAACTTTCACCCATCCATTCAAGAATATTTGGTAAGTTACCCACCAAAAACCCACTTCAGAGGAAGACAGAGAAGTCAGTAATTGATTACACAGATGACATTATTTAGCAAAACATTGGCTTAGATGAAAAGCTCAGTTTTAACATTACATTCTCCTAAAACTGTTTCTATTCAGTGTGAAACAATGAAAATAATTTTTTAATATGCATTTTAAATGTTTACAGCTCTAAAAAGCAACTGGATACCAATTAAATTTTACAATATTTTGGTATACTAAAAAAATCCAAGCCAACAACTAGATCAGAAACTGGCTTGTAACCTTGTGAACAGCCAGTGAGCTCCTTCTTCCCCCAAGATATTTGCTCTGTGTTAGTGTGTCACAAGGTACATAAGAAGCACACAGAGCACTGCTGGCTCACTAAGTGTATTATCTTTACCTTAACTATTTCTCACTTATACACTAAATGAAAACTAAACATCTGTGATTCAAAAGTCCACATTCTTCTCAGCCAGTCTGACTCTATTTTGTGGACTTAACTATCTGTACTTCAAGCATTTTGCATCATTTCTATGTATTTACCTGCAAATCTCCCCCTGGAGTTTCAAAAGTACTTTATTTCAGATGTATGCCATGGAAAGGTTAGTTGGTACTTACCCTTTCAAGTTCCTCAATCCTCTTTTCCAAAGTGTTACTTGGTAGAGAACTGCCAGAAGAATTTGCATCTCTGCTGTATCTGCTGTAAGCTGTCCTCTCTGCTCGGGAATATCTATTTGGAGCATCATCTTCTGGTGCATTAGCTGTACTGTGAGAGGCAGAGCAAAGCAGACACCTAGTTACACATTTAACAAAATGGAAATGAGAGTAGTCACAGAAGTGCTTTCCAAAGCAGTCAATAGGTCAGTCTAATAAACTGCAGAGAATGTATTTCACAGCTCTTGTGTGGCTGAAAACTCAATAAATTCACTGCCTCAGGGATTCAAATACTTGGATAATGCAGCTTTCATCACATGGATAATACACTGTAAACACATACTTATCCTATTTTTCAAGTTTCACTAACTATGCACATTAAAAACCACAATAAATAACTTTATTCCAGGAACTAAAGATCCACTACAGAGTTTAAACCAAGCATCTTTTTAACTAGATGAAAACACAAGGGATGAAAAAACAAATACCTGCCCAAAACATTAGAAGAATATTGACTAACTTTTCAGGAACTATGGATTTGGCCTGTAAGGGAATGGAAAGTAAACTGAACTGAGAAGGTGATGTGACCCAACAAACTAATTTTATGCCATCTGCAGATATTTTACTTCAGAACTTTGATACAGAGGAGTTTTGCAGAACTCTGTTGATAGACACTCATTCCTTAAGTGGTTCCATGTTCTGGTTTTTTTTGTTTAGATTATGTGTCTATTTATTAAAATCACTGTCATGGAATCAAGAGATAAACACTGCAAGTGCACATAAGCTAGTTTTTAAAAAAGCATGCAGGGTCTCCATTACTACTGGTATGTACAAAACCAGTATTAATTTAAATATATGTAAAACAAGCCAAGCACTTTCAGTCACAAAACTAACAGTGTCCTCCCCATAGCCATTTTCTTCCTAACAATAATGTTACTTACCTTCAATGAAGATTCTAATGAATAACTAAGAACAACAGAACAGAGTGCCCTGGGAGCAGGGAAAGAGACTTTTCCTCTACAATCCACCAAAGTTATACTTCTCAGACTTAAAATATACAGACAAACTGCCAAGACAAAAACAAACGATGGAGATACTCAGAAGCCACCTGGAGATGCTCCTCAATCAGCTCTAGGTGGCCCTGCCTGAGCAGGGGTCTGGACAAGATTCCTCCCAGAGGTCCCTTCCAACATCAACCAGCCTGTGATTCTGCAAAATCACACAGCTGAAGTATGTATGCACTGGTGCTCTAGACCACTTAGGAAAAGAATGAAAAACACTACGAGCATCCCTACATTTCCTTTAAAACAGAGACGAGTGTGTGACTAATGTGTTCATTTAACAATTTTGCATTTCATAACTCTAGGAAACCCCCGCTTACAACGTGCAGATTTAGAGGGATACAATGCAAATCAAAAGCAGGAGTATCTGGCAAAGGGATGTCTTTTCGTGGATATAAATATTCTTTTGCTCCAGTATGTGTGAAGTTTCCAAGACACACTGACACAATTGTAAGGAATTTTGTAGCTTAATGTTATTACCATATTTAGCACTGTTTATTCCTCATCCAGAAGATTTTTTAAAAAACATTTCTAGGACCGGATACGTATGTTGCAACACAACATAAGAGAAATATTTTAACTTAACTCTATAAATTCTAGATTATTGAGCTTCCTAAAGGAGATGTAGTTTAATGTCTCAAGGAGAGATCACACAAGAAAAAGTCTCAACTTTTCATCATTTAAAAATGAATACTTTTGCCAGCATACTGGAGTATTTTAGTTCAGCTCCAGTGAGTGATATTGGCAGAAGCCCCTAAACGAAGATCAGATTAGAAGAAAGAATACCTGGACAGGAAGGGTTTCATTAATAAAGAAAGTTCTTTAATTTTCAGGGGTTTTTCTCCTAAAACTCACACTCAAGAATTTCCTCATCTATTCCACTGGGCAGCAGACCCTACTGAACACATTCCTTTTCATTGTAGGAAAGTACAAAGGACCTATCGTGGAGGCTTCTAGGAAATGGGATTTAAAAAAAAGCATTTAAGGAGGCATCAGTCCATAACCTAACACAAAGAATGTGACAGATAAAAAGTTCATTATTTTGGTTGTTAAAATCAATGGCTAGTACAGAGCAATGGTAAAAATGTACTATCCACGACACATCAGAAAGATCTTTCACAAAGAATGGAACTTAAGTCTCCAGGTGCAACATCACTTCATGAGTGTTAAATGAGAAAGAACGACAGAATCAGAATATGTTGAGTTGGAAAGGACCCATCTGGATCATTGAGTCCAAATGTTGGCCCTGGAACCCCTAGAGTTACATGTGCCTGAGAGCATTGTCCAAACACTTCTTGAACTCAAGATAGGCTTGGTCCTGTGACCACTGCCCTGGGAAACCTTTGCCAGTGCCCAACCACCCTCTGGCTGGAAAACTTCTTGATATCCAGCCTAAACCTCTGCTGACTCCTGCCCTTCCCCTGAGTCCTGTCAAGGTATCTGTCTGTACCTGACCCTCCTCTTTCCCCCACGAGGAAGCTGTAGGCCTTCCCTCGGTCTCCCCTTCTCCAGGCTGAACAGACCAAGTGACCTCAGCCATTCCTCCTAGGGCTTCTACTCCAGTCCCTTCACCATCCTTGTTGCTCTCTTCTGGATGTTCTCCAAGAGCTTCATGTCTGTTTTATATTGTGGCACCCAGAACTGCTCCCAGCCCTTGAGTTGAGGCTGCCCCAGCTCAGAGCAGAGCAGGACAATCCCCTCCCTTGCCCGGCTGGCCATGCTGTGCCTGATGCCTCCCAAGAACCCTTTCCACAATCAGTTTCATTGAGCAAAATCAGTTTGACTACTCCTACAGAAAAACAGAAATTTTGGTTTGGAATGAAGTTCCTAGTTATTTTCTTAACAATTAAATCAGTCATTCATAAATGGACAGGTTTAATAGCATTATTACAGCAAGGTGAAATATCGCTTGCTCTTTCCAATGCTTCTTTGATTCTCACAATGTCTTTCTAAAGCACTGTCCAAATTGCCATTTCACCCATTGAAAATCACCCCTGTCAAAACTATATTTCAACTACAGCAGGTTTATTTTGATGCCAGAATCTTATACCTAATTTGGAAACTCCTAGTTATTTATGCTACTGCAATCCAGTCAGTTGCTAACAGCTTCTCTAGAAGCAAAGGACAATTATTTCTAAATAGGGCACCTTGGATTTCTGTTACTTCAGACTGCTTAAGCCAGATTTGTGGCTTTCAGAGTTGAGCCAAGGAAAGGCAGTTTCATCTTCTCTACAGCTGCACTTCTCTAGGCTCCTCCACTTTTCCTGCCTCTGGCCTTCAACTTGAACTTACTGAACTACTTGCACTTCCTGCCTCTGGCCTTACATCTTAAGTATACCTGCACATTTAAAGCACATGAAGCTCACAGTTAGGACACATGACTGACCACAGCTCCCAAATACTCTCCTGCATGTCCGGTGGCCTTCAGGTCAGCATGACCTTGCAGATTCTGGTCCTGCTTTTAACAGATCTCACAGTACCACTCCAGACCACAACAAAACTCACTTTCTCTCAAAAATATTTTATGCACTTAATCATGCAACTACAAAACAACCCTTCCACAAACTTCTGGGAGGTGTGAAAATTTCTGAAATAAATTCAGAAGACAGACTACAACTATAGACTAAGATCCTCATCACAAACTTCTATTTCCTTTACAGCACAAAGAGACAAGCTGTTTGTACAAGTCACTAAGCACACAGAAAGACACAGCAGCCATCAGAATTCATTTGTAAACATGTTTTCCAGTCAATGGACACTCAGTAAAACAGGTTTCCCAGAATTGTCATATAAATGTTTAGTCAAGGATTGTTGCATCCATATAAGGGAAAGTAGGCAGTGTAATTCACAGTGTAAAATCTGTATAATTCCTTGAGTCCTGGAACACACCGAGAACACAATGATTCTGTAAGAACACACATAACTGATCTTCTCTGCTTTTAAATCTCCTTTCTCTTGTCAGGTACAGAGGATGGGTATCTCAGTGTAGAGGCAGAATCACAGAATTCTTGAAGATGCAAAATACTCTCTAAGATTCATAACAAAATATGAAAACAGCTAAACAGAAAGGAAAGATACTGGAAGTCCAGAATAGTATCAGTAATCCAGGACTAGAAGTCAGAAAGGATAGAAAATGGAAACACGAAGAAGAAAAAAAAAAACCAAAAAACCAAGAAAACCTAATAAAACAAAATAAACCCCAAAAGAAATCAGACAATAAAGAGAAGACTAGGACCCCGCTGATTAAATATAAGGATGTAAGAGAAGTGGGGAAGAGAAAGGAAAGGGTGCCTAACTGTGCTAGAAAATGAAAACCAGTGAAGTGAAGAAAAATGCTGAGATGAACAAGATGTCATGTTTGATAAGGAATAACTGGGGAAGAGCGAGAAGGCAAAAGAGAAAAGCCAGAAGTAGTAAAGATGGAAGAAAGCAATCTGAATATTTCTGGCAAATAATTCAATGTTTCAACGGGAAAGAGAATCTATTATAGAATTCAACATTTCAGGAAAATATACTTTCCTTTTTGCTATCATATGTCTATAAAGTCTACCAATAATCTCTCTAACCAACTCTAAACCAACTGACTTTCCAAGGGACTCCTGTTGTGGGACTTCAGTGAGAGCTGAGTTATCTGAATAAGAATTACTGTAGAGGAGGCTGCTTTCTGTAAGATCCTCACCTACTGCAGATGTTGGAAGAAGCAAACAAGGCCAGAACAATTCTGGTTCTGACTTCTTTAGCATTCAAACCAGAATGCCAAACCACTGGGAGTCATACCTTAAGCACCCCCACAGGAAAAATTAGTTCAGGGAGGTAGAAATTTTCAAATACAGCAGAAAATTAATAGATACTATTAACTCAAATCACAGTGGGCATTGTATACTTCAAGGAGAATAAAACCCACTGAGTATTTGTGAGCACTGGGCACTGTGCTGACAGTGGTAAATAATCCTTCAACATGAAGTTTCAAGACTATGCAATGAATAAGATAAAATGGCAACATCCATAAAATATTGAATGGCAGCTCACAGCAAGTCAGATTCCTTCTTGAATGTGATGCCAGTTCTGTGACAAACTCTACATCCCACACATAACTAAAGCTGAGTGAGGGAAGACTGCACAACCAAGTCTTATGTAGCATTTTCTAGCCTTGGCGTTTCCTACTTTTGCAATACTAATCAGAAGAATTAGATTATTTTCAACTAAGTTACAAACGTGGTTGTGCAAACTTCTATTTATTACCACCCCACGCACAACCAAATTTTTGCAAGTGTGTGAGTACATACAGCATGCAAGCAGAGATAAGGTTTATGAAAAGCCACAAAAGTATGACACACACCACTAAGTATTTGGCAGATACAAACAGCAATAAAATTCTGCACTGGGACTGAAGAGGAAGTAAAGACTGAACTAAGATGTGCTTGATTAATGAGAAACGAATCATGAAATTACATAGTTATTAAACTTGTGGCAATAAGCCCACCCATTCTGCAATGACAAAATGATTTAAAGAAAAAATAACCTGTCAGTAATAAAAAGCATCACTCAGCTGGGTTTACGAGAACCTGAGAATAGAAATATAAAAGACACCATGCTAGGAAAGCTAAAGAATAACAGGATAGGCTATTATTTTTTACAGTGTGGGAGGTGAGACTCTGGAACAGGTTGCCTAGAGAAGCTATGGGTGTTCCCTCCCTCTAAGTGTTCAAGGCCACGTTGGATGGGGCTCTAAGCAATCCAGTTCACTGGAAAATGTCACTGCCCATGGCAGGGGGGCTGGACTAGGTGATCTTCAAGGTCTCTTTCAACCCAAACCATTCTATGATTCTACAGGTGAACAGTTTTGAGGGGTAGAAAATACAGCAGTGAAGACTAGATAATTGTTGATGCTCTTTGCACATATACACAGATGAATTAACCACCTACATACTTTACCCAAGTAAAGGATACCTAAAAGAGAATGCATTCATGTACCAAATAAAATACAATTTACACAATTGCCTTGCTTCAGCTGAAGTATTTCAGACCCCATGTTACCATAACATTTCCTAATAGTTGTGATAGTTGTGTCAGTATTAATTCCACGTGGACAAAAATTTCACACACTGGTCAGGTGCATCAAGAGCTTCTGAAGAATTTCTCTGATTATAAAGCTGGAGTAATGACCAGGGTAATACCTGACTCAAAGACAACCAACAAACAGGACATGCTATATATGAGAAATACCTGCTACAACTGAGACAGTAGTATGACAAAACCATCTTTCAGTACTACTGTGGAGAGCAATAAAATTATCTTAATTTATTAAACTTCAGAATACAGTGGTTCATAAATTAAACTATGAAAATACTGGTTCCTATGCCCTGTGTACTCAAGTTTGACGTTTGATTGGGAAACTATTCTGCCCTAGTTAGATCCAGTAAAACACTAGCTGAATTTATTTTAAAATAGTAAAATAATAGAGGGCTTTGGATAAGCTTGGTGCATCTCTCAGGTCCTTTGCCTGCCATATCAGGCTATGTATCTACAGTAGCAGTATGATGGCTTCTACTACAAATAGCCATTTAATCAGCATTATTTCTGGCAGAAATGCAAAAAAAATTGTTGTGTACAAAGATCTCATACCTTTTATACCTGCTTGAAACCATCCTGGAGGAGTCCTAAAAGAAAAAAAAAAAGGAAAAACTAATTAATATTTTTCTTGTATCTATACTTCCAAATTATCTTATTACTCCACAGAAAACTAAGTCTGCAGCAAGAGCAGTCCCATGCCACTGTACAACTCAGTTTTGCATTATTTTGTTGTCAGGTATAGACAATACCAGGACTATTGTCATCATGTTACTGCTTCTGAACACCACCTCAGAAGCCTTAAGTGTTTGTCCCTGATTACCTCATAAAACTGGATGCAGTTATTCCATCCCTCTGCATGCACAACACGTGAAACAGCTCACACCCTGCCACCAGCACACCTCCACTACCACTAATTAGTATGGAAACACGTGTGCACTTTGATAGTTGGTCATCAACTTGTCCAAGAGCAGCAGAGTAAAACTGTTTCAATTCCTCAGCACCACAGAAGGCTGTCCTGGATAGGAACAAAAACTGAAGCCCCAAGTACAAAAATTAAGACATGTTTCAACTGGTAAACAATGGCTCAGATTTGACAGACTAAGTCCATAGATATTTTTTAGGATGTTGTAAGAACATGAACCAATTATTTTCTTAGTCATAGGCAAAACACCCCCCAGCAAATAGCAGGTAAAAACTCAGGAAAGAATATTTAAGGAGTTAATGGATAACTGCCTTTGTGAGAAAAGAAAAAAAAGGCAAAGTATGAAATTCTGTCTACTTACAACACTTACTGCAGGAAAAGAAGCAAATGAGTTCTTAAAACAAAATGCAAGAGAAATTCCATCCACTCTGAAAATTCTACAAAACATTACACTGCCTTCACTGATCAGCACATTAGTGACTTTGTAAGTAAATAAACAAGCTAAAAATTAGGAAACAAAGAATATTATTTTACTATAGAAAATAGATAAAACTATTCAGATAAAAAAAAAACTTGATCTGAAAGTATATTTTATGAAACATTTTCAATTTCTGCCATATGTGCTACACTTTATCCCTAAGTTAAGCAGAAAAACAAAATTCAACAAATTTATGGGAATTATTTAAAGAAACCCACAAACTTGGCAAAATTGCTAGTTTAACACAGATAACTATTTTTAGCATTGATGACAGCATCTGAAAATTAGTGATTCACAGCTGTGAAACAGAACCTAAGTTTACCTCTAAAAGGGCAGAGAAACATAATTTTAAACAGTACCAATGCTATTTTTGAAGTTTACTTAAGGGATAGGTTATCTTTGAAAGGTCATGGAAGCAGAGAGAGGCTTCTGAGGACTAAAATGAAGTAAATGTCATTCCCTTCTTCAAGAAGGATCATGCAAGGAAATACAGGACAGTCCTTAGCTAAGTCCCTGAGCAGGAAGGAATTGGAATAAATCCTCAAGGACAAGAGAGTGAAATCAGCATGGATATATGAAGGGGAAACTATGCCTGACCTGACAGCCTTCTATGCTGGGAGGACTTGGTGGATGAAGGCAAAGCAGATGATGTTTATCTAGCTGTTAGCAACACTTTCAACACCTTCCCACACAACATTATTATCCGGGAATAGAGGCCAGATAAGTAGAGCACGAGATGCAGTGACTGCTGGGTCCAAAGGGTTATGAACCACAGCACTAAGTCCAAGCACTAAGTGGACATCAGCCACTTTGCAGGGATTTATACAGGGGCCAGTACTGTTTAATGACTTCATTAATGACCTGAATGATGAGACAAAGTACAGCCTCAGCAAGTTTGCACACTACAAACAACTTGGATGAGAGGTTAACAATACATCAGGTGGCTGTGTTGCCATCTAGAGGGACACAGGCTGGAAAACAGGCTTACAGAGACCCCATGAAGTCCAAAAAAAAAAGGAAAAAGCAAAGTCCTGCACCTGAGTCTGGGGATGAATAATCCCAAGCACAAGTACAGGCTGTGGAAAGCTGCTGTGCAGAAAAGAATCCAGGTGTTCTGGTGGACAACAAGTCGAACATAAGCCACCACTGTGCCCTTGCATCATGAAAGAAGGCCCATGGATCCTCAGGATGCACTGCCAGCAGGATGAAGGACAGCATCCTGAGGAGAACTATAAAGACAGTGAAGGGACTAGAAGAGAGTGAGTACACAAGGAGTTGCTGAGGTCATTTGGCTTGTTCAGCCTGGAAAAGCCTGAGGGGAGACCTCAGTGCAGTTACAATTTCCTCATGAAGGGACAAGGACAGTCAGGCACTGCTCTCTTCTCTGGGGTGCCCAGTGACAGGACTAAGGGAATGGCCTGAAGCTGTGTCAGCAGAGGCTTAGTTTGGATATTAGGAAAAAGTTCTTCACATCTCAGGGTGGTTGGGCACTTGAAAAGGCTCTGTACAGAAGTGGTCAGTCACAGCACCAAACCTGAGAGACTTCAAGAAGCATTTGGACAATACTCTCAGGCACATGGTGTGACTCTTGAAGTGTCCTGTTCAGGGACAGGAGCTGGACTCGTGGGTCCCTTCCAACCAAGTATATTCTCTAATTCCCCTCTGCTCAGCCCTGGTGAGATCACAGCTGGCATGCTGGGTCCAGTTCTGGGCTTCTCAGTACGAGAACAATATCCTGGAGAGACTCCAGCAAAGCTGGACATATGATTAAAGGTCTGGAGCATCTGACACATGAGGAGAAGCCGAAAGTGCTGGAAATGTTCAGCCAGGAGACTAGGATGCTCAGGAGGTATGTTGCCAATAGATACAAATTCCTGGTGGGGGAAAGATGATGGAGACATATTTCTATCCATGGTGATACCAAAAACCCCAACTGGCTACAGGTCCTGAGCCATTTGCTATAGGTATCCTGCTTTGTCTGCAAGACTTGGACTGGGGATTTCCCAAGACCCCTTCAAGCCTTAAAGATTTTTTAGCTTTAAGACAGTCAGCAATGACTGATGAGGTGATTTGTCTCTGAGGTACCTGAAGAGATTCAAATTGTTTCATCTAATACATTAAGATACACGTTCCCTGTATCTGAGAACTGAAACACCACATTCAGTAACATCAGACAGAGCTCCTGGTGATGATGGTATCAGAATCATCCCAGCTGCCCAATTAGCTATGGGCAAGTGGTTCAATTGTCCTTTTAGGCTTGGATGGAGAGTTATGTTGAGTCTAAATTTTGCCTGCTTCTAGATACAATAAAATAGGAACTCTGGGCTCTAATCTTCCTCACTTCTTATTTTTTTAACAGCTTTTTTTTTTTTTTTTTTTTTTTTTTTTTTTTTTAGGAAAATGCTTCCTGGTGAACATAAGCCTCTGTTTGCAGTAAAATGCAGAAATCATGAGAAAGGGAGAAATTGCACCTGAAATTTCAGTCTAGGGAAGCTCACGTACCCTTGTACAAAGAAATCTTAAGGTGCTTGTTTTGTACTCTAGACACTAAAAGGATACAATGGATGCACTGTATACCCTCAAATTTGCTAAAATATTTCTATATACTAAATGCAAATATAAGCTGTAAAGCAACCACATAGACTTGTACATTTAATTCAACAGGACACTTTCAGAAGTTTGGCAGAACTATTCAGAAAAGCCAGGTCTTCACAAATAGCTGGGAAAGCAAACAAATACTCAAAGTGCACAGCAAATACTCTCAGTTGCTACAAATGACAGCTGTTAAAACAAACAAACAAAAAAACCTTGAGTCAATTAACAAGCTCGTTGTAACAGATGTTTCTACAGTAACTATCAGTGTTTTTTATTTCTGTAGTTAAAACTAGCTATGAACAAAAAGTTAAAAATGCACATGTGATGTGTAAAAATACTCCTCTGAACACAAATTTAATACTGCAGATTTGGTAAATTATTACTTTTATAACTTTGAAATCTCTAATGTAAATGTAAACCAATCATTCTCTGAAGTGATGATGAAAGCACTAAGAAAATGTATTATTTACCTCTGCTCTCACCTTACATAATTTATTTTGTGTGCGTCCAAAAGTCTCTGGCAACATGAATATAAGTAGTCACACTGTAAGTAACCTTATGTGCCTATAAATCAAAAATTAATCTAAAATTTCAAACTATTCAGAAGATCTTAAAATGAGGCAAGCATCTATAATTTAAGATCTTGTCTCCTTTTGGAGAACTGAAGGTTGGCAGAAAATGAAGAAAAGGAATGAAAAAAGGAGGGATAGGCTTGTTCTGATGAAGAGTTAACTTAAAAGCAGATTACTATTCTTGTACATAAATACTTATTTACAAATCTGGCTTATATTCCTTAATATTTTTTAGCTTTGAGTTTTAACCCACATTTAAAATATCTAATCATCACTATAAAAGTGAATGATTTGTCATGAGCAACAAAGGAATCAGTTTATTTGAATGTCTCCCTCTAAAAGAGGAATTCTTTTTATAGTCTGTGGAAATCCTGAGTAGAAAATCAGTACATAAAGAAGGAATTCATAACAATGCTAATGGTTTCTTTCATACTGGTGAAAAAATACTGCTGCCAAAGACATCTACTAACATCAGTTCTTTGTCCAAGCCTGAAATCAAACACTTCAATGCAGTATTCCAAACACAACTTTAAAATTACTTTTACTTTTTGCACACGATCTCAGGCAGCTAACATTACCTTTCAACAGTATATACTTCACTAATAAACCAAATTACTAGTGAACACTCTGCAAACTATTGCAGAGTGACATACATCAGCATTGCTCCAGAAAATTGGTCATGTTCCCTTTTTGTTTTGTCTACAAAAGTGATTGTGTGGATGCTATTACTGCAGGACAGGGTGTGATCTACGTGAAAAACCCAAGGAAAAAGAAAACATTTCTCTCATTCCACATGAGCTCCTTCGTCTGATTCACTGCACAGACTAACACACAGACATGCACCTGCGGCAGAAGAGAATATGTAAGGACAGAAAAAGCAGCTGAGACCATTTCAATTAATGAAACCATTTACTGCCAATTAAATCTCTGTCAAACTAGGATGCAAGGAACTTGGCTAACTCTCCTCTTTGCTCCTGGCTCATTTTGGCATTTCGTCTGGCCAACAGAGAGATTACATAA